GGGGGGGGGGGGGGGATCTTGGGATATTAAATCCCCAGCATCAAGAACAAGCAAAACCAGCAATGCATGTGGGGAGTTAGGACATTCATATTCTGAAGTCAGAGTCCACTGGTTATTTTCCTTTTGAGCTCTTCAACTGAGAACAGGCCACAGGAAAAACTGGGTTTTAATGAGGAGAAAGACAACACAAGGACAATTTGTGTACTCCCATGGAATCAAATGAGAGAAAATTAGGAAAGCTCTGTTGCAGGTCTCTTGAATCACAAATGAGAATGAGTCCTTAGGTCAGGTGACTAGCCAAGTTCACACAGATGGTCCATGGCAGAGCCCACGCAGTCAACTCTGTAGGCCCCACCCCACCCACCACTTCTGCCTCAGCTTCCCCTGAGCAGACCTGGGGCCAGCAATTCCCAGCGTGGCCCTAACTACTCCTTCACATCCTCCATCTCTTCCCACCCCACGCTTCTCCACAATGCTTGACTTCAGTCTTGCCTACCTGAGCTGCCTCTGCCTACCACACTGATTGCCACAAGAATCTTGTCCTCCTCTCTGAACAGGTTTGACAGCCAGGTGAGGGTAGGAATGAGAAGCTTTCGCTCCCAGGCTGGGCCTCTCTGTCTGGCCTCAGCCCTGGCAAGTACTTCCTCACAGGCAGGCTTGCTCCTCTGGTAGAGCCAGGAAGCCACAGAAGCTCTAAGCTTCTGTCCCCTCCCAGCTCTCTGAATTGCCACACCTGCCTGTGAGGAGGGGAGGCGAAATGCTTAGGGAGAGATGCCCTTTCTTCAAGGCAACTTAAACCCTGAAGTTTCCCCTCAAGCAGCCTTTTGCATTCTCCAAACTTTCCATCTCTTATCACTGCTGTGTGCTCCCTCCCACTCCCCCCGCCTGTCCCAACTAAATCACAGCCTTCCAGGACTCTTTGTACCTCAGGGCAGATGGTGTCCTCGGGAAGCCCCTGACCAAAGCGGCAGGGTGGTTTGGAGGTGGTGACAGGGCACACACAGGCCCCTTCTTCATCGCTAGCGTGTTTTCGCTGTTCTCAGCCTGGTGAGTCAGCACCACAGGGCCACACACAAGGCTCCCATTCAGGGCTCAACTTCCTTCTGCTATAACTCAGATCTTGGCATCTCTCCCTCCCTCATTCTCTATGTGAGCCTTATTCTCCCCATGGGAAAACTCTGCTCCCTGCTCCTGGCCTCCTTTCGTTCCTGTTCCCCACACTCCCCTGCACCCACACCAGTCCACATTCCTCACTCTTTCTTTCTGGGAGTCGATAATCCCAGCTGTCTGTTGACATGTAGGACACAAAACAAAACAGAAATGATACGTTTAGGGAATCCTCATTTGCATATCCCATAGGGATTTATTGGTGTGTTGGCTAATGTCTATGATTCCGAGTTGAAGGCCAGCCTGGGCTACAAAGCAAGAGACTGTCTAAAAAGTAAATAAACACAGATGAAAACCAGGTATTTGTTTCTGCGCGCGCTCACCCCACTCTGTGTCTGCCCCTCATTTATTCGGTTTATGGTTATTAAGTGCTAAGAGCTGCAATTTACACCTTGGTGGTGGGATGAGTCTCACAGAAGTGACATCTCACAGTAATGCCGGGACAAGACACAGGTAGGCTGGGGGTGGGGCCTGTCCAAGAGCCTAAAAGGGACTTAGAGACCTAAGAAAAGGCAAACAATTTACACAGACAGAAATGAGAGGAGCAGGGCGGGGGCCCGGCCCCGGGGCGCACTCAGGGAGGCAGAGGCAGGCAGATCTCTGTGAGTATGAGGCCAGCCTGGTCTACAGAGCCAGTCCAGGACAGCCAGGGCTACACAGAGAAAACCTGTGGGGGGGGGGGGGGGAGGGGGGATCAAAAAAAGGGGGAGGTTCGTGGTTTGCATGATATACAGCAAGAGAGTGCAAAAGGCATTTGAACCACAGAGACATTTGGACCATAAGAGACTTTGTCATACCCTGATAAGTGACAACCTGAGCTAGTTTGTCGTGGAGTAAGGATAGCTCGCACTCTTAAGTGCGTTTGCTCGCTAGCACACAGCAGCTACTCCGCAGGTTACCTGCCCTTGTCCATCGGCGTTGCGGGGCAGGGAGGACGAGCTTGCTCGTCTGGATTAGAGGACGCTGGCCCTGACGCCACTCTTGGGCGCAAATGCCCAGCAGGCTCCTCCGGGCTGGCAGCCTCACCCTGCTCCCGAAAACTGGGTTGCTCGCGCCCCCTGGTGTTTCAGACACCGACAACCTCGACGGGACGAAGTGCGACTGCGCGTGAACCTGAGCGACCCAGAGCGACGCGCTCTGAGGCCAGGAGGGGGCGCTGCATCTGAGCCGACGTGGGACGTGCCTGAGCCCTGTGCCTGAGCCCTGAGCCTGTGAGCAAGGGCTTCTTTGGGAACCAGCCTTCTGTTAGGTAACAGTTCCAAGAGGGAGGGAAGGAGGGAGGGGCAGAAAAAGCGAAAAAGGAAAAAAGGGGAAAAGGGCGAAAATGATAAAACCATCTCACAGGATTACTGTGGTTTTGTTGTTTGTTTTCGCTGTTCTGGGGGTTAAACCTAGCTCTCACATTCACCGGGTTAAGTGCAAACGCTGGACCAATGAGCTACATCCCTGGCCCTTTTACATACTTTTTAATTTAAGACACATTCGCACTATGTTGTGAAGACTGGCCTTGAACTTGGGATCCTCCTGCCGAAGCATTCCAACTAGGATTACAGCCTGCCTACACCACGGGTCTTGGCTTGCTGTGGGTCTTAACAAAGCACGTTTAAGAATGAAACTAGTTCCTGGCGAGAGGGAGCCCTCACCAAGTGCTGGGATAGTGCCTTAGAGGCTCCGTTACTGCTAGAGGCGTCAGGGTGACTATCAGCATTTATTGTTTCTCCGTCCACTGCGTGGTGTCTCACGAATGCTGTGTCGACACTCCACATACAGAGCTCTTAACGAAGTGAGGGTTTTTTCTTCTTTGTTTCTGGTGCTAGGGGCCCAAACCACCACCCAGTGTTCTACCACTGAGCTAAATCCACGACTCTGCTTTATTGTTTGTGTTTGTTTGGGGGACTGGGTCTCACTCTGTAGCCCAAGATGGACTCAAACTCCGAGCAGTCCTCCTGCTGCAGCCTCCCAGATGTGGGATTGCAGGCACGTGACACCGTGCCTAGTTTGTTTTGTTTTTTGAAACAGGCTCTCGCTTTGTAGCTCAAGCCGGCCTGGAACTTGCAATAATCCTCCTGTTTCTACTCCCAAGAGCTGGGATTACAAGCGTGAGACACTGTGCCCAGTTTTCAAGAACGAAGCCAAAAATGGAGAGCTAGCACTCTGGACCGAGCACAAAGAATTCATCCGTGAAGACTTCGGTGCCACAGTTGCTGCTAGGTACCAGGCACTGACATAGGCATTTGGAAGAATAAATAACTTTCTATGCTTTGGGGCTTTTAGATACTGGTGGTGAGACAAATACAAAATATAGTGTTATTTAGACCACAGGCATGACAGCCCACACCTGATCTACAAAGCGAGTTCCAGGCCACCTAGGAACTGTTTTTCCTTTTGTTTCTGGTGCTAGGGGCTAAAAGAAAAAAAAGAGCCTAGGGGTGGTGGTGCCACATGCCTTTAATCCTGGTACCTGGGAGGCAGAGGCAGGCAGATCTCTGTGAGTTCAAGGCCAGCCTGGTCTACAGAGTGAGTCCCAGGACAACCAGGGCTACACAGAGAAACCCTGTCTCAAGAGAACAAAACAAAACAAAGGAAAAAGAAAAAAAAAAAGAAGAGGGAAAAAGCTGTGGCTGCATTTATTCAGCCAGTCCAGTTAGCAAAGATCTCGCAGAGGAAATGCTGCTTGGCCTGGTCTTGAACCAGATGTGAACAAGGAGTAAAGGGCCAGTAAGGACCACAGAACCAGGTGAGGCGCTGAGTGCAATCCCAGCGCCAAGACAGAGGAACACGTAAGCACCACACCAAGAGACTAGTAAGGCTGGCGCAGCCTTGGGAGGGTAGCATGGACTTGGAGAATGGAGTGGGAACAGTGAAGGGCACGCTCTGCCCAGGGAAAGAGTCTGGATTTGTGGGCCACTGAGGGCTTTTGCTGAGGAGACACCCAGAATCCAAACTCACTGCAAGCACACTTCTGATAAAGCTAAATTAGGCTTCGAGGTCCATCCCTCCTCGCATAGCTCCTTCCAAACCCTAAAGCATGCAAACCATGTGGTCAACACATCCTTATAAAATGCAAAAGCCAGCTCAACAGGGCGTTCACACTGCTTCCTTTTTAGCTCCTTGTCCAGTGTTAACACCCTTCTCCACGATGGCTGGCCTTGGAGTGAAGGGCATATGCATTTTTGGAACTGACCTAAAGTTAAATTGAATAAACAAAACTATGCTTGCTGTGAGGGGAGGTGGAGATTTTGTTGTTTGGTTGTTTTTTTGTTTGTTGGTTGGTTGGTTGGTGTCTGTTTGTCTGTTTTAGACAGATGTCATTATGTAGCCCCGGCTGGACTGGAACTCACGAGGCAAACCCTGTTGATCTCTAGCTCATAGAAATCTCCCTGCCTGAGCCTCTAAAGTACTGGGATTAAAGGTGTGCAAGCACCACCGCCCCTGTCCCCAGACAGGGGCTGGAGAGATGGCTCAGCTGTTTGGAACACACAGGTTTGATTCCCAGCACCCACGTGGGTGACTCACAACCATCCCTAACTCCAGTTCCTGGGGATCCAACACCCTCTTCTGGCCTCTGACGGCACCAGGCACACATGTGATGCAGTACATACATGCAGGCAAAATACTTACATATATAAAAATAAATAAATAAATGTTTTTTAAAAAACCTTTAAGTAAAAAAAAAAAAAAATCTTTAGAGAGAAGTAAAATTGTATAGCTCCAAAACTCCCATCTCCACCAAGAAAGGAAGAACATCATAAAAGGACTAAGGAAAAGCCAAGGAAAAAAAGCTTTTTTTAAAAAAAAACTCTTGATTGAT